CTGGCTTTGAGTAACCCCTGTCCTTGGGGGTCCAAGCTTCCTGCAGGCAGGGCCTGCTGCCAAAGAAGCCTCTTTCCACAGCCAGCCCGGGCTGCCGTGGACAGAGGCTGCTTCCTGGCATCCCCTCCCCCCTTTCCTCCAGCCTTTCCTCCCAACAGCAGCCTCTGTCCGCAGGAAATTCAGACCCCTCATGAACAGAGGCTGCAGCCTTCTCAAAATGCAGTTAGTCAACTATTCTATAGTTCCCGGGGGCAGGGCCAGCAGCCAGTGCAATCTGGCCAGTCCCCGGAGCCCCCTGCATTCTTGCAATGCTGCTCTGTATCAGAGGCAGCAGCAGGGGGGCAGCAGATAGCCAGTCCATGAGGGGAGCTGGTTTTTAATCTGATTCAGAGACAGCAGCATGAGATGGCATGGGGCTCCCTGGGAGTGGAGCCAGATTGCACTGGCAGATGGCCCCACCCCCAGGGACTATAGAATAGTTGACTAATCACTAAGAATTCATGCGGTTAGTTGACTGTACTGTTACCTGCTATCTAACATCCCTGGTCCAGAAGTCATGGCCATAGGCATATTCATAATGTCTATGCTGGGGTGGGCAATAAAATGGCAGTAGGTCAGCAGGGTGGGCCTCTGGTGGGCCGCTGCCACTATAGTTTCCTGCACTTTTACAGGTATGGATGATCACAGTTGCCACTGGCTGGGAACAGCAATCCATGGCCAAGAGGAGCTGTAATTCCCATACATTCAGAGGCACAGGTCAATAGGGCAGTGTGGGTGCCCACCAGACTAGATCTGACCCTGCAGGCTGGTATTTGCCTGCCCTGCCCTGGTCTATGCACTATGAAGAGTCTAAAGAGCAAATGGCTGAGATTTGCCTTAAAAATCAGCTTACATATTCAGAATCACTGAAAATATTGCTTGCAACCTGTGAAAGCATCACTGGCTAATAAAGACCAAACTAAAAGCACATGTGGTGCATGCTTCACACATTGACACTTTATAGATATGGATGGTGTGTGATGAATTACCATTAGATAATCTTCTCCTTTGTGCATTAAAATTGTCTCTGCCTTCTATTTCCTTATCCCCATAAAAGAGGTTACCTGGTGATAAACAGCTAGTTGTACTTTAGTCATTAAAACAATTAAACTTCTTTAAACTGAAAGCCAGTTGAACTTGAATTATACCCTTAAAACTTCAGTTTATGCTACGTTAGTCAGCTGAAATGAGTCTCTCATTTATTTTAATTGTTAATGCTCTCAGATTTTAATTTCCTTCCTTGAAGCATTTAAAAAAGGGGGCCAAAGTTTTAATGGACTGAAATCATAACTAAATCTCTTTGCATGCCTTTTTAATTTCAAAGCTAGAGTTATTGCACACTTGCCAACATGATTAGTAATATTCTTCTCACAGAAAAGAAGTCTTGTTAATGCCATGAACATGTTGTAGTTACCCAAAGCTGCTGTAACTTTAATTGATACAATTACCAAGAGCACTAATATAGATAGACCAAGATGTTACATGACACTTTATTTTGGACCAACATAACAACATGCTCATACTTCTTAGACCCACAAAGGGAGTTAACATTGTTGGTGATGTTTCCATTGCATCTTGATTCCAGTTTTGATACTAAAATAACCCAGACTTCCTCATACCATGTTGACTATATCCATACAGTAATTCAATCTGATAGTCCAAGAACCACACTTATCTCCTGATTTAACACCTTTGAATTCTGTTAATCTCCTGTGTTATAGACACACCTGCCCTCCTCTTGAAATTAATGTTTTCTTAAAAGAAAAGCCTTTCCTTTTATTTGAAGCAAACAGTGCTTGGTTGGCCATGATTTTTGTGAATGGCTGAAAACATTCTTGTCAAATTCACTAACACTTTTGCGTTGGCCCAAACTGCATTTTTCTTTTTTCAGCAGTTGGAAGAATTTCAGGTCTCCCAGCTACCCTGAAACTGAGTGACTATTTTTAGAATGAGAGGATAATGTCTTCTCCAGTCAAGCTCCATCTCTGCTCTCGCTGTTGAGACTGCCAGCGCGGATACCCGATCAGTTTCTTTTTTGCAGAAGGATATGGTGTCGATGGCGTTCCTCTAGAAGGAATTTGACTAAGAACTCTCTCACATAACAGTTTGTTCAGTACTAAGGACATGGAAGTAAAAGTCTCCATACACCTCCAGACCTGACCACTCTCTCAAAACATCCAAACCTCTTTAATATCTCTAACCAAATCTAAATAAAAATAAACCTTCCATGGCTCATTATTATTATTATTATTATTTTGATCCCTGGTTTAAATACAGATTAGGGGTCAAATTCATCCCTAGAGAAGGATGAGCAGGTGCAACTCCTTGTGATCAGTGGAGCAACACAACACATTTTGTTCCTTCAGACGGGCCTCTAAAGACCATGACAAAAACGAAAGTGAATGTAGATTCTCTTTTGAAGTGGGCTCTTTGTTCGGAGAAGAAATGAATGGAACAATTTATGCAGTACATTATGTTCCATCAGAACTGCTAAGACTTAACAGAAGTTTTCACACAAACTTTGGAGGTCTGCAGATCTGAGAAATATAGCATAAACATGGGAATAAACCAGACAAAGCTAAAGTCTAATGGGTCCTTCCCATGCCTACTTGGTCTGCTAAAATACAGAAGTCTGGAATCCTCCCTGCATTATCAATAACAGTAATCATTTTAATACTAGATTATGATTTGCATTTGGCCAAGGGACCAAATTCCTTAGTTCCCTTAATGGATTACATGGATTTTGGGTCCAGGTGCACAGAAGAGAAACTATCCACCCTCTTCTTTTTTATAAAGAGGAGTTGCAGGAATGGGCACTGGAATGGGTTGAGTGTTGGTTCCACTCACCTCCTGATGGACAGAGTAGGTGAGACAGTGGTATAGGACAGCAGTAAATTACCTCCATAAGCAAGGATGAAGCAGAGGAAGCAATGAGACTTGTGGGTCTCAGTCATAAGGTCTCCTAACACTACACCTATGTTGGTGTAGTTTATTCACCCTCCATTAGTCAGTCAAACCACAATCCACAGCTTGATATTTCTTTGTCTCAAATATGTTTTAGAAAACAATGTGATTTTCATAAAGTAACTATTAAGTGATTACATCATGATTTGGTGTGATCCAAAAATGCTTCCTGGATTAATGCTACTGTTTAAAAAAGTTATAGAGATGTGTATGCATAAAGATTACAAAAAATTAGTATTATTTGACCTGGAAAGCAAACGTTTTAGTGTGAACTTGACTCAGATATTTCAAAGTAATGAAAGCTATTATGGGCACTAATCCATTCCTCCTTTGTATGCTGTCCATTAATAAGGAACCTAAGGGTCACTTAACAAAATTAATGGTTAGTAAGTGGGAACAAATCAAAGAAAATGATACTTTTACCCAGCAGGTGGAATTCACTTCTATAAGAGGTCAGAAAGTCAAATACTGTAGCTGGAATTAGGAAAAAGCTGAATAGTTTCATGGTTATAATAGCTTTTGTAGCTGTACTTTCTGAGATAAAATTATTAAAATCTCATGGTTTGGGTAAAATGACTGCCACTGGTCAAGAAGAAACTCTCCCCACCATCCAAGGAGAGGTGGGCAGTGCATACTTGGTTAGGTACACTAAGGCCTTCTTCTTCCACCACTGCTAGAAACAAGACAATGACAAGAACTGACGAACCAATGACCGGATTGATGGCATTTCTTAATATGTTTCCTTCTTCTCTAACACTCAGGGCATGTCTACACTGCATGCTTATTATGGAATGAGCTATTCCAGAAGAAAAACTCCAAAATAGCTTATTTCGAAATACAGAGGATAACCGAGTTAGTCTGTTACAGAAAAAAACAACAAATGGTCTGGTAGTACTAAGAAGCGGACTATGCCCACGAAAGCTCATGATACCATCTACATGTTTTGTTAGTCTATAAAGTGCCACCAGATCATTTGTTGTTTATTTCAAAATAGTGCGTCTACTCAGCTAATGCCAATCAAAATAGCACTGAATTGCATTTAAGGCCACTGGGAAGAACTTTAGGCAGGGCATGTGGAGAGCAGTAACTTTCTGGAGCTGCTGCCTGACGTTATCTGAGGCTCGAGCTTAAGGGGACACCCCTGTACAGTCATGTCTCAGGTTCCTTACCTTTGCTTACCTCATTGAAGGACAGCAAAGCCTTTTCTCTGCCTGCTGCAGTTGCCCTTGCGGACACCTCAGCTCTCTAGCAATGGAGCCAGAGCTGTGTCCCAGCAGTCAACAGCTCTTACAGGTTGTGCTGAGCCTTCCGCAGCTCTTTCTGTGGGATACCTTCCAGATCCTGCAGCAACACAACCCCTAGCTCATTGCGGGGATCTTCCTCCTCTCTGCGGGCACTTCTCATGCAGTACAACCCCCCATGCCCTCCCCTGCACAGGGTGCACCACCACTTATGGCATTTAAACACCAGTTTTGACTCATGGGAGCAGATCATCGTGGAAGGGTGGAGCAATCAGCTGTGGCTCCAGAATTGCCACATGTGGAAAGACACCTTCCTGGAGCTATACGGGTGGCTCGCCCCTGCCCTCAGGAGATGGGACACCCACAAGCAACCCACCACCCCTCTCCTGAAGCAGGTAGCCATTGCCATCTGGAAGCTCACCACTGCGGACAGCTACTGATCTGTTAGGAACCAGTTTGGCATGGGGAGATGGACCTTTGGGCTGTGCTCATGCAGGTATCATGCTCTCTGGCTTTTGTCCTGGGGAGGAGCGGGGGAGACTGCTGGAATGGAGTTCCCTAGGAAGGGGAGGAGTAGTGGTGGAAGCCCGCTCCCTGGGAAATTTTTCAGTCCTGCCTTCACAAAGTCCTGAGGGGAGATGGGGCCAGCAGGGGGTTGCTCCTGGTGTGTGGAGAGGAAACGGTGGTGAGCTTGTGGACCTCTCAAGGGCCCTGGCACCCCTGTGATTCTGTTTGTTTCTTTGTCTCCTTCCACAGGTGGTGTGGGCCATCCACACTGTCCTGCTGCACGGGATCATCAACCTGGGCAACGTGGACCCCATCATCACCAGCTTTGCCAACATGGGCTCTCCCACCTGAGGCGGGCACTATTGACAGCACCCACATCCCCATCTGGGCCTCTGCCCACCAGGCAGCCAAACATATCAAATGCTAGGGGCACTTTTCGATGGTCCTGCAGACTGTCACAGACCATGATGAACATCTGCGTCAGGTGGTCGGGGAAGGCCCCCGATGCCCGCGTCTTCCGCAACTCCAGCCTCTTCCAGAAGCTGCACGCTGGCAGTTTTTTCCCCAACCACACCATCAGGAGCAGGGACATGGCCATGCTGATCTGTATTGTGGGGAACACAGTCTACCCTCTGCTCCCCTGGCTAATGAAGCCCTACACAGGACACCTGGACCACAGCAGGGGATGCTTCAATGCCAAGCTCAGCATGACCCACATTGTGTACTAGGCACAGGTGTAAAATGTCTACCTATCAATCAGCAATCAGCCAGGTAGCTGCTTTATCATTGTATGTATGAGTGGGTGAATAATTAAGGTTTAACACATGGCTTTTATCTGGAATTCAGCCAAAACTAGTTTACATATTCACATGGTCTAATTGTGATAATTAAGTCACTGCAGATTAATGATTTTGGCATCTGAGGAGGGTTCTTGTGTTTTCTAAATATGTTCAGGAAGAAAGCCGGCGTTCTGATTTTTTTGAGCTAATTTTGTGTGCTATGTACACAGTGTAGAAATTTTCAGTGTTACACATTCTCAGAAAGGTGAGATGTAACATTACTGGTGTACATTATACACATTTTAAAGTTTATTTGAGAAAACCATGAAATTCCATATTGAAAATGTCTGCCTTTCAAAGGAAAAAACAATAGAAAACATAGTGATAGTTATTAAAATGGACTTTACTATACTAAATGTATACCTTTACCATGGTTTTATAGTACTGTCTGTCATGCCATCTGGTGTAGCTCACAACTGAGAGTGCCTGATTTGCTAACTGGTGGTGTGTACTGTAAGTTGATTTCACCAAACCAGTAACAAATGTGAGCTTTACCATGAAGTTACAGACAGTCCCCCTAGCTCCTCCAGTCTGTCTTACCACCTAGACAAACCAAACTTTATGATAAAAGGTTATTTAAGAGAAAAATCACACCACATCAGATTATTCACATTCCCAAAGTGCCAGGCACTTACCCCAGAGCAATTGGTAGTCCAGATCCTACTCCAGATAATGCAGGTGGGAAATTCTAATTATAGGTTTATTCACTAAGAAAAGGAAATGAGAGTTAAACAAATGTTAAATCAGGTAAAAATATATGCCCAAGTGAGTCTCAGTGTGTAATTCCAAATGATGGCAGTGATGTAATAAGCTGCCAGTTTCCAAAATGCCTTTCAGGATACTCACATTGTCTCAGGGATCTCTGCTTTGCATCTGTTACTCACCCTGTAAGAGTCCAAACAAAGGATATTGCTTTGAATCCATATTTATAGTTTCTCAACAAAGAAAACAAGGTGATAGAGTCTCTACCCATGAGGGATTTTCCTTTGAAGACAATGAGGCAGGAAATCACTTAGTCTTTTGTCTTCCAACCACCGTACCTGTGGCCGGTAGCCAGCAATATGGAGAGCTCTGGCCCCAGCTGACCAGTCTCTTCCTCTGTGGTCACATTGCAGTATAACTGTCTCCTGCACTCACTGCCCCCATTGGTCATTGCAGAGCAGAACTGCCCCTGCTCTAACCCTTTCCATGCAATAGAAGACAATCAGATTCCAGGTACATCCAGTTTTCCTGGCACAACCATCCCCTGACCTTGCTAAGTTAGGATAAGAGGAAGCTGCACACCAAATTTGGTGGTCTCAGCTCTTACTGTTTAGGAGGAGTTTTTGAACAAACGGACTTACAGATGGATAGGCGGACTCATGGACAGAAACAGAGATGAACAAATTCTCATTTTTTTTATGTGTGTGTGTGTATGTGTATACATACACACACAGAGATACTTCAGTATGGGATGGAGAGGAGAAATTATGTACACCAAAAGAACTAAAGGTGTTCAAAAGAGACAAAATTGTTTACAAATTTAGCAAGTGATTTTACAGGGTTTACGAGACCATTTCTCTAGTACGTATTAACAAAAACAAGTCTCTTTTCCTCAAAGGAACCTGCTACTTGTGATTGCAGTCCCATTCAAAAGAGAAGGGGCAGCCATTATGCCCATACGAATCCCTAAAGCCCTGGAGATTTATTTCTGTGTTAATTTCCAGCCCTCCTCACCTCGCCATGAGTTGAAACAAAGTCATAGACGTGAAGCAACAAAGACATTATTGCCCTTTGCTTGATGTAGTTTTAAAAGATCTCTTTCTGAGTCATTGAAAAGAGCATTTAAAGTCTTTTCTTTGTTTCCCTTGCTGTATCCCAAAGCCACACTCTCACTAAACCACAGTGACGTTTGAAACAGATTTGGTAAGGAGAAGTATCTGGAAACTTCAGTTGAGTTGATTGATTGTGTTTAATTGCATTCTGTGTTTCATAAACACAGTATCGTAAATCTACCAATTGTCAAACAGAACAAGGTGATTAATGGAGTAACAGCTGTCTGTCATTAGTCTTACAAAGAGATTTCAGAAATATGAAGGTCTTTAAGGGTGCATGTTTCTGAACTGCTGATGTGTTCTGCGCTCTGATGGCAGATCAGGGAGGGGCCTGAGGGAATTTGGGGAGGAGGAGAAGGAGAAGGAACCCAGACAGAAAGACAGCATATACAGTACAATCAAAAGCAACTAACCACATTGCCTCTTCACTCTTTATCTATCTGCAACAAGTCAGATAGAGAATGAGGAAAACCACAGCAGATTTTGCCTTTTTGCATACTGAAATATTTAAAATTAAGACAGCTCAGTACATATTCACTATTTCACTATACACATGTGCAGTGTATGGCAAATAAAGTTTATTGGCCTTTAGAAGGCCCAGAATATGGATGACTTCAGTAAGGCTTGGTTTTGACAGCCTTCACATTTAAAGCAAGGAGGTTGGGTATGAAATTTTGGTACAATTTAAGACTTATTAGAAATAGCCTGGGCTATAAATGCTGTTTCTTGATCATTAAATCAGCCAAGGATAAACACAATATCCATGAACACTGGGGCACAGAGTCAGACAAGAACAACAAACAAAATGTTGCCAAATGTTAACAAAAAGCCTTTTAATTCACATATGTAAACATTTCTACTTCTTTTTCCCCCCCAGCCAGTTAAATATATTTGGAGACTTCAAAAAAAAGCATTATGTCTATTGAGTAGTTACACTGTGCTTTATGTCTATTTTATGTCTACCGAGTATTTAGCTTCATGGTTAGCAATCAGCAGAAGAGAAAGGAGCTAGTATTTGCTTTTCTTCTGAAAGCTACTCAGAACTTATGAGTTATAGGCTTAAAAAATTAGAACCAACTTTATGGGAAGGATCCAGAACTAGAGTAAAGCAGTATAGCTCTCATTCAGATCAATGAAATTATGCTGATTTACACCAGCTGGGAGGCTAGACCTATGTGTTTAAAAAATGCCATAAATAAGCCCCTGAAATTTTTCACTAGAAGTAAAATCAATTTTTATAAATAGTCAAGCAGATTTTGCTAATTAGCAAACATACATTTGTTTCCCCCCCTATATTTTCAAAATGGAAATACATTCATTAATTAATTCCAATATTTAAAAAGTAAAGATAGATTTAAAAACCTGCCTTGAACAATAAAGAAGAGCTCTTGGAAAAAGTTGCTTATAGATGATTTTCATATTTAGTGGCACTTTCCAGACATTCATACTGGCATCTTCACAGGCCTGGTGAGGGGAGAATGAGAGGTAGATATGCTAAAGGGCAGAGATAGGGTCCAGAGTGACTTAGACAAATTGGCAGATTGGGCCACAAGAAATCTGATGAGGTTCAACAAGGACAAGTGCAGAGTCCTGCACTTGGGACGGAAGAATCCCAAGCATAGTTACAAGCTGGTGACCAACCAGTTAAGTAGTAGTTCTGCAGAAAAGGACCTGGGGGCTACAGTGGATGAGAAGCTGGATATGAGTCAACAGTGTGCCCTTGTAGCCAAGAAGGCTAATGGCATATTAGGGTGCATTAAGAGGAGCATTGCCAGCAGATCCAGAGATGTCATTATTCCCCTTTATTCGGCTTTGGTGAGGCCACATCTGGAGTAGTGTGTCCAGTTCTGGGCCCCCCACTACAAAAAGGATGTGGACGCATTGGAGAGGGTCCAGCGGAGGGCAACCAAAATGATTAGGGGGCTGCAGCATATGGCTTATGAGGAGAGGCTGAGGGACTTGGGTCTGTTTAGTCTGCAGAAGCAAAGAGTGAGGGGGGATTTGATAGCAGCCTTCAACTTCCTGAAGGGAGATTCCAAAGAGGATGGAGAGAGGCTGGTCTCAGTAGTGACAGATGGCAGAACAAGGAGCAATGGTCTCAAGTTGTGGTGGGAGAGGTCCAGGTTGGATATTAGAAAAAACTATTTTCACTAGGAGGGTAGTGAAGCACTGGAATGGGTTACCTAGGGAAGTAGTGGAGTCTCCATCCCTAGAGGTGTTTAAGTCTCGGCTTGACAAAGCCATGGCTGGGTTGATTTAGTTGGAATTGGTCCTGCCTAGAGCAGGGGGCTGGACTTGATGACGTTCTGAGGTCTCTTCCAGTTCTATGATTCTATGAACAGAACAAACCTCCCATTAAGAACTAACACAAGTTGTGTAGGTTTTCTTCTGAAGATATCCATTTTGTGGTCAAAACTTATTCTTTAAGATGGTGTCTTTGAGTCCCTATGTTTGAAGAATAACCAGGGAAAATGGATCTTCTTCCACACTTTCATATTCCATCCTCAGTTTCTTCTTATAGATTCAAGTGACAAAGCTAATAGCAGGGATGACTGATCTTCTATGTAGGGCTCTCTCATTTGTTCTCTAAAACTATTCTCTTCTTCTTCCCAGGTTCCAGAGCACATCAAGAGCAACACAGACAGTATGTGATCATTGAGGCTATGTCAACCAGAGAAGATTGCACGGGGGATGTTTTCCATCTTGAGTATTTATGGAGCCAATAGCAACGTGATATGAACTTGGCCCTATTGCCATTGAACTAAAGGGCAAAACTCCTTTTAAGTTTGGTGGGAGAAGGAGCAGGCTATATTCTGTTCTTTGTGGATGGAACCAGTGTAAAATGTTCAATACGTATTGTACCAAATTCATCTCTGTTGAAAAGGAACTTAACAATAGAACACCACTTGTCATCACCTACAGCTCCCAACTTAAACCTGTCCAACACATTATCAATAAATTACAGCCTATACTGGAACAGGACACTAAACTCCAAGAAGCTCTGGGAGACAGACCCATAGTCTCCTATAGACAACTACCTAACCTCAAGATGATTCTTACCAACAACCACAGGACATACCACACTAATACCAACCCTGGTACTTTCCCTTGCAACAAACCCCATTGCCAGCTTTGTCCACATATTCACTCTGCTGACACCATTATTGGGCCTAACCAAGTGAGTTATAAGATCATGAACACATATTCCTGCGCCTCCAGAAATATAATCTATGCTATCATGTGCCGAAAGTGTCCGTTATGTACATTGGACAAACGTCTCAGACACTTCACCAAAGAATCAATGCCCACAAAACAGACATTAGACAGGATCACAAAGAAAAAACAGTTGCTTGCCATTTCAACCAGAAAGGACACTGTCTCAATGACCTACTCACCTGCATCCTACTTCAGAAAACATTCAAATCTGCACTTGAAAGGGAATCCTCTGAACTGGCATTCATGCTAAAATTCGACACTCTCTGCAGGGGGCTGAACAAAGACTCCAGCTATCTTACCCATTACAAAGATAGCTTCCCTAATTATCACCTCTAATACTATTAACTCACAGACATCTACCCTTCCCCACCTCTAATATCATTAACTCACAGGCATTCACCTTTCTTCCCCCCTCTCCCCGCATCCTCCTCCTGTTCTGAAATGTGATTTGTCCTTTTCATATGTGTTCATTTTTTTAAATTGTATCCTTTGGTATATATGGTTGTGACTATTTTCTTCCACTATTTGATCTGAGGAAGTGGGTCTGGCCCACGAAAGCTCTTCATCTAATAAACCATCTTGTTAGTCTTTAAAGTGCTACATAGTCCTGTATTTTGTTCCTAGATTAAGTTACCCCAGGGAGTTGTTACTCATCACAAGGGATGAGTACTATTAAAATTCAAACAACCCAGCTCTATAGGAAATACACATACCACTGTGTAACGTTTGTGGTATAATACAAGTGTCATCTTGTAAATAGAATGGATAGAGGAAAGGATGGTTGGAGAGGATACTCAATTAATTCATGTCACATTTCCTTTTCCCTTCAGCATTACTACCACCAGAAACACAAAAGTACAAGTTCATGATTAAAGTAATGGGTAAAAATCTTAGCTTTGTTGGAGTCAATTGCTAGATTCTTATTGACTTCAGTGGTGCCAAGACCCACCTAATATAACAGAAAGTGAAGAGATGCAATTTATCATCCTGCTGGATAGAACAGCAAATAACAGAATCCTTCTTCCATTGCAATTTGATTTTCTCCCAACAAAATCATCACATGCAAACCTCAAGCATGAATGGCTAGAGATTTCTTCAGAACCATTGGCACTAACTCATTTTTCCAGTGGCAAGAGTGTCCTCAAATATTATGGATGTCTTATGGTTTATAAGACAATGTGCCAAATTCAGCTGCGGTGCAAGAAGGTACAATTCTGTTCTTTTCAATGGCGCTGCTCCCGCTTATTCCTGAATTGGATATAGCCCAATATTGTAAACTGCCAAACGATAATTAAGATCTCAGATCCCTCAATGTCTTCAAATCTGCCTTTAGCATTATGTAGTTTTGTTTCTAGCGCTCTGTGGCAACATAATTTTGGAAGAGAGAGGACTACATGCTGCTGAATAGACCTTAACAAATATAGCCATGGCAGGGAAACATGTCTAGACAAAACAGTGCACCTTGGCTATCTTCTTCTTTCAAATGTCCTTTAGATGCAGTCTTTGGCACTTCAGTTTTTTCCATAAATGCTCATTCTCTTGCTCAGATACAACATGCCATGGAGGTCTCCAAATGGCAGGGGCATTGGAAGGAGACGTTGGTTTCCCTTTCTATTTCTTCATCCATTCTATCTCTATTGCTTCAGGACAGCTTTAAAACACTGCACCGCTTTAAAAGCAGCACAGAGTTTCTGCTCCAAAGAAAGCACTAGACCTTTCCCCAGACTTCCTTAGAAAATATGAGAGCTGTTCAATAATAAACCTTTCAAGAGGTACAGCATACTCTTCCAGCACACTCTGCTGGTTAATGGAAAGGGGACAGGGCTCTGCCTCTTCCCTAGTGACCCACATCTGAGGGGTCTGCCATAGGAAATGCATGAAGGAATTGCAGTTACTCCTTTTCACACACATACCTTCAAACAGTGTCTATCCTGTGGTCTTTACAACTGGTGCATTACCACAGAAGTCGTACATCAGAAATGCTTTTTTCTTTTAGGAGCTTGATGGCATAACAATTAGTAAAGCTGATCAAAACTTGGAATTTCTATTCTGCAGGAATTTTCAACTGTTTGAAATTTGTTTTAATTCCCAACTGAAAAAACATATTTTTTAAAATTTCTCACACAAAAGTTAAAAAAAAAACCCCATACTTATAGGGTGAAAGCATTCAGTTTCAATTTTCTCACACAAAAGTTAAAAAAAACCCATACTTATAGGGTGAAAGCATTCAGTTTCAATACAGTCAAAGGGCTTTTGTTCTAATTTTTAAAAAATGTTGCATATCATAATGTTATAAAATCTCTTTCTCTATATAAAAACATTTTTCCTGCCAGACGACAGAATGCTCCTGCTGGGCGACAGGATGACGTCAAGAAGTCAACAGGCTCTCTCAGTGAAGAGAAAGCAGCCAGAGAGGGGGAAGGGAGCGTAGTGAAAAGAGGGTGTAGCGTATGCAGCCCCCTAGTAAATTTTAAAATTAGAAACTGCTTTGAAACTAGAATTAAAAACATTCCATTATGATAAAGAAAATTTAATTTAAATCAACAGTGTCTGTTTCTGTTTTGACTTATTTGTTTTTCTAACAGAAAGTGCTGTCAGAAAATGTCCAGCCACATTAGCTATTTAGTGGACTGGGAATAAGAGGCAGTGGGAGAGAATCAGGTTAAAATGCTTCCATGTTCAATCATGTCCCCAATGTTTTGGGCCCAGTTTAGTGATGTATTTCCTGGCTCTGGTTCATATGCATCCAAAATACCTCGAGAGCAGCTCACAACATTCTGATATCATCATATTCAAAATCTGATTCAATCTGAACTCCTGCCTTGTACAGTTAATTAAGTCTCATTTGGATCTATCAACTACCTATTTTGCCAACTGCAATAAAAATGTGTTCTGGGTGATTTCAATATTTAATTTGTTTGCCCATTCAGTGTTTACCTTCCCTGTTTCCTTACTATAAGTTGGGCCTCCCTGGTCTGGCACTCTTGGGACCTGACTGGTGTGGAATGAGGGAATTTGCTGGACCAGGGGAGGTCCCCGGCCACCAGTCCCCCCAGGCCTGCCACCTCTCCACACCACTGACTCCACTTCTGATCCAATCATTCGCCCTACCTCTAGCCTGGCTGGGCTGCCAGCCCTGGCCAAGCTTGCCATACACTGGCCATCCACCTCCCCCATTGCTGGCCCTGTGACCACGGGCCCCTGCAGAGGTCCTAACCGATGCCCCTCTGCCACTGAACTCCTGGCTTTGGGGCTCTCTGCTCCAGAAACATTCATGGTTCTTCTGGACCACAGATGTTGCCAAACTAGAGAGTCCCAGTTTAAGGAGGTACAACCTATAGTAGCACTAATCAGGAATTAATTTTCAGTTATTCATTTCTGTGATCAGACATTTTTCTTATGCTTAGTGCTTAAACTGTAATGTATATTGCATCCTACATGAATACAAGGAAAAGAGTAGCTTTCCAGACTTCCTCTCCAAACTGAGATCATATTATGTAAGAACCATGCTAGAAGTTCTGTGGAAAACACAGTTAATCAAGGATTTGGCAGCTGTAAAAAGAGAAGAAGAAAGCTCACTTTCTCCACAAACAAAACCAATTGACATCTTAACTCACATGTCACTTCCATATATGACTAATATGAAAACTCATAACCAATGCTTTGTATCCATATTTATTAGTAAGGTAGGGTTAACAACCTTTCTAAACATGAACTATTAGCTATAACTGAATGTGATATTTTTAGCAGAACAAATTTATCTCAAGGAGAATTCCATTTTTCATGTAAAAATAATTATTCATAGCAATCAGATCATTAGACTTACATACCTTCAATTTTATAAAAAGCTTCTTATAGTAATTAAAAATGTTGGTTACTATTTTTTCTTCTAGGACTAGCAACTGAATCAGTTTTACATTTGTATCTAGATTTTTTTAAGTTGCCATAAACACTTCATAAACCAAAGCAAAAACAAACAAAAAACATCACCAAGAAAATCTCTGGAAATTTCCCCCCCAGAGATTTGTGTCTCAGCAAGTTTATTCAACAGTTTCAATCAGTAATGTACAAAATTTTTCAATAAAGGTGTCCCATTTCAGGAGATACTTTATATTCATTTACAATTACTTGAGCAACTGAAAGACATCCAGCTTTGCAATTCAGTTCTTCATGGCAGTAATTTTTCCTTTCCTAGATTGAGAGACTAGAAAGAGCAATTGTGATAATCTAGTCTGACCTCATACATAATATAGGCCTCAGAATCTTGCTCACTAGTTTATGCATGAAGTCCATTAACTTCTGTTTCAGCTATAGCATATTCTTTAACAGTCTATCCAGACTTCAAGTGATGGCACATGAACCACATGCATCCCAAAGAAAATTGTTCCGAAGATGAATGACTCTCACTGTTAAAAAAAATTGTGAATTATGCCTCATCTGAATTTGTCTAGCTTCAGGTTCCAAGCATTTGATCTTATGTCCTTTTTGTTAGGGTAAAGTGTCCTTTACTCTCAGAAATTTCTTCCATGTGTAGTTAATGGTAGACCACAATCAAATCATCGTCTTAACCTTCTCTTGTATAAACTGACTATATTGAGCTTTTTAAGCCTCTTTCACTATAGAGCATATTCTCCAGAACTTAATCATTCCTAAAGTCTCACAGGGATAGCTGTGTTTGTCTGTAACTTTAAAAATGAGTAGTCCAGTGGCGCCTCTTTTATATGAGAGAAGTAGGTTT